AAAATTACAAACAACTAAAGCTTTATTATTTGAGGACAAAAGTTGACAATGCTCTGTAAAGTTTTCCGAAAACAATTTATAACTGATGTCCTCTTTCCATTCCGAGAGATTCCAGACACAAATTCGAAAAGTATCTTTATCGTTATTGTCTCTTATTAAAATTACGAGGTCAGTTTTAGATGTAGTTTTTTCTTTGGGTGTGTTATTTTCTTTGGAGGTGTTATTTTCTTTGGAGGTGCTATTTTTTTCTTCAAATGCTATTTGTATAATTGTACTATAATACACTTTACTGATAATCTCAAGGCCATTTTCAATTAGAAATAGATGGATAGTATCATTGAAAGTAGCGGCAAGCAATCGTTTATCGCGAGACATAGCAATCAATACATTTCTAATTGGTTGAAGGTTAAAGTTCTCTTGATATGGACTAAATTGCATTTTTTCATTGCCAGTTTTAAGTGAATACATTGAAATCTTATTTTCACTATTCACTGAAAAGAAATATCCATTTAAAACTAAATTGTTTAATCTTCTGATAACTTGATCCGGATCCTTTTCATGTTTTATATATTTTATATCCATTTCTAATGGTAACGGATAGATATGGAATTCATTGGATTTTAACGAATGTTTTTCGAAATTGGAACGAATAAATACGCCAGTATCGAATCTTTGAACTCCTTTGATAATGTGATCTAATTTTTTATGACTTTTGAGATTGAAACGAAAAAGGTCCCCAGAGATAAATCTTTGAAACCATCCAGTGGTTTTCTCAAGTTCTTTAAGATTGAAGCGAACAAATCCATTTCCATTTAATATAACTGTATCCAAGTTTTTAAATATCTTCACTACGCCAGAGAATTGAAAAGCATAAGCTTCTTTAGTTTCAGAGTTTTTTATTGCTATACAATATGTTTTATTGATTTCTATATCTTCGAATAGTTGATCTTCGGGAGTTGATGCTGAATTGAATTTAATTTGCGATACTGTCTTTTTATTAAATTCATAATCGTATAGAATTTTACTTTTTTCAAAGTATGAAAGTAGAATGTATGTTGTATTATCGATGGTGTTTGAAATAGCCAATGAATATTCGTGTGATCCATTATTATTTTGGCTGTTAGGCTGAGGTAAAGGAATTGCGATTTCATCTTGCATTGAAATAGCACCGCAGTCATTTATCGACCAAAAGACCAATTTTCCACTTGCTTAAGGATATCAATAATTGTATATTAACATAAAATGGGACAATATTTGATTAATATAAATTTCCACTTTATAGTTAAAAATCCACTCACTTTTGTTATATTTGACCAATAGCTTTTCATCAGGGCTTTGTGCGATAACACATGAACCTAACTCTTCGTTATCATCTAAAATATTTTGATTATGATTTGTAGTGCATGTACTTGATTGAGTAGTGCACGCGTCTTCTATTGAAATAATTAGCGTTCGACTATTATTGTTTGACTCCGGATAACTAGATTTACCAATGTTCTTTTTTCTTCTAGCTTTTGTTTTGTAAGACATTTTTAAGCGATAATAGTGATAATAAGACGGCTTATAAATGCGCAATATATAACTAATGCGTGAAGGATAAATTTAAATTTTTTTCTTGGAACATACAACTCTTAAATACTTTTGTCCGGTATAAAGTCGACATACACGAACAAAAACATAGCGATAGAGCTACATAATCTATCGCTATTTGATGAGTTTCTGTGTTAGGCACACATATAAAAAAACATAAATAGAACGCAAGCTACATAAGTTCATTGTTTAGTTTCTCAACAAAGTTTCTTTGTTAGAAAAAATGTAAAAATAGAGTTCAAGTAACATTTAATTCTTAAATGAAGTCGGCACGAGACCTAGAAACGTTATAATGTAAAAGTAAAACATAATAAATTTCCCAATTGAGCTTTTTGTAATATATATCGATATTGAAACAACAAAATCTGTGTTTATATTTCTGGGTCGTGGCATATTTCATTTAAATTTTATTATGTTGCAATTAATTAATTAATATTAATTACTTGAGGTGTCATTTTTATTCCAGACGTTGTCTTTTTAACAAGGAAAACTTCAATTTCAATCGAACGAACAAAGTACAGTACAGTTAGAACTCGGTTTAAAGATATATCGATATATCGCAATTTTTATAGGAAATAACGACGCGATTTAACGATATCTAAATCGAGCCCTGACAGTGTTTAAATTTAAAATTGCCTGCAAATTTACAAATTTTTTAACATTAATCGGCGGAATTTTAATATGGGATATTTAAAAAAAGCATGCGTAAATTTACGGAATCAATTCTCAATTTGCGCACCGAAGATTCCGCAAATAGATTTCAAAAGTTGGTCTGACTATATGTGACAAATAGTCTTAAATGCATGTACAAACTTCAATAAAAGTTACTTCTCAAAATATACCTCAACTATGTTTGTAAATCGTATAATATCTAACACTCCAGATTGATACGATTGATGGTTGAAGAAATTTTCTGAAAGTTCCCTACGAACCGATACAAGTACATGTATACGTAACGTACACGTAAATGCATAAGTTCAAACTAATTAGGAAAATATATAAAACTTAATTTATTTTATCGTTATCTACCGCTACCGCTGTGAACGTACGTATTACGTTGTGACTATGCGATTTAGCGATGATCGTTTAAATCGCGATGATATCGTAGTTTTGTCTAGACGTACTTTGTACATGTAATTTAATTCATCATCACAATCAAAACATCAGGTTTGAAACCTGTATTACTTACTGTATACCAATCACACGTTGACAAAATCTTTGTCTGATTTTCGCAGGAAAAAATAATTACGAACTAACGATTTAGCCGCACTTTCATATTTATTAAAAAAAACTTTAATTCTGAACAGCAACCATGTGTTCAATTAAACAAAGAAAAACCAGAATTTCTTATAGAAAAGAAAACTTTTGTACAATTAAAAGGATCTAATTTTGAACAGCAACCATGTCTTCGAAGTGAATTAATGATTTGTGTTCAAGTAAACAAAGAAAAATCAACATTTCGCTAAAGTACGAGTTCACATAATTCGTCTAAAAATATTTCCGAAAATTAATAATATGCGTACAAAAGATTTGTAAAGATAAAAATAAATTTTAAAGTAATTCTAAGACAAATATTGTCTATAATCATAAAACTGCATCTTCGTATATCGATGTGTTGCCCCCAAATCAATCGGCCCCGAAAACAAAATCAATATAGTGTTGTCTAACTGATCCAATCTAACACTAACGCTAATATAAAATACCCGGATTAACAATCGGGACAACGACACAACGTATATTTTCAAGACAAATTTTTAGGGCAGACAACACGAATTTAGGTCATTCACTGAGCTGCATTGATGGCTTCGATTCAAAATTATCAGTAACTGTTTAGGTGATTGCAATATTTCATTGATGGTTTCAAAGAAGTCTATCGGCCTGAAGTTTTTGAAGAAGCTGCGTAAACATTTATCAATTAAACAGATTGCAAAAAGAGTGAAACTGACATTTTATGAATTGATTTGAATATGCGCATATTATCGTTATGTACTGTATATTTTTTGGAGATGGTAATTTTACAGATATTTAAATTCTTCATTAATTTGCAATTTTTAATATACATTTTAAACTTACAAACTAAATTAACATACTAATTGTAGATGACTTTTTTTATTTGTTAATGAATTATTCGATTCGATTAGTTTGTGATTTAATCAGAAAACATTTGGTTCCTGGAATAAACTCTCGGCTGCCCATAACATGATAAAAATTGAGTTCCGATTTTTACCCAGAAATTTACGATTTTTTATTTCGGAGAATTTCCGCTTTTTGACTCCGAAACTTTTCCAGTGTTTCTATCAAATTCTGGAATAATTAATTCCGGTTTCACCCAGTTTTTTATTTTTTATTTTTTAAGAAATATCTTGGATATATTTCGAAATATTTCTGTATATTTTACAGAGTATTTCTGGAATACTTCTTTACTTTTTATTCATTTATTTATTTAATTTGTTTATTCATTTAACTTTTTTATTTCCGTTTATTTGGTTTATCTTTAATATATTTAACTTACTTTGTTTATTTTTATACATATTGGAATTAGACTTTAATATGCACAGGTTGCATGCTTTTACTCACTACGTACTATTTTACATTCTATTTTATGATAAATATATTGCGATTTTTAAATATTTTTATATATTCCAATTTTAAAATCGCAATGGCAAATAAACCGAATATTTTAATTTCAAATTTTAGAATTAAAATTTGAATATATAAAAATAAAATAAAATTTAAAGTTTTCACATTGATATCTCAGGAGCCAGTGTTCCGGTTCAAACGAATTTACTAACATTCGATTCGTCTTAATATGAAAAATCGAATAATGGTAAATTTGCTTGAATTGGACCACTGATTCTCGAGATATCACGTAAAACGTTAAATTTGTTAGAAATGAGCTGGAATATATAAAAAATAAACTTTAAAGTTTTTACGCAATATCGATATCAATTCAAACAATCGGATAACGGAAGAGAAAATCCTCAAAACACTCCTGGGCTCTGACTGCAGCCGTTTGATTTTGCCACCATTTGATTCGTCATATTAAGACGAAATTAAATTAATATTGATCACTGGTTCCCAAGATATAATTTAAATCCGTTAAATCTTATTTTTTCTATATCCGGAAAACAAAAAAAAAAAAAAACGCCAATTTTAAAATCGAAAGAACTCAGAAAACAAACCCCCCCCCCCGGAAATAAAAAATCCCCAGTTTTAAAATCGGAAGAAAACCGGAAACATTCAAATTTCCGGAGAAAAACGGATTCAATTTTTTATAGGCTAATATACTCGCAATATTTCGATACTGAGGTTGAACGAAAATAACTACAAGAAACCGAGAATTTGTTACTGCTTTTTTTACAGAACATTAATTTTACATTTAAAACTAGATTTGCACTAATTTCATTGATTTACATGCAAGGATTATTTTTATTAAAATTGTTACTATTTTCTCTATTTTATTATAATTAATATATCTGATTTTGCTTTAATATAATTAAATTTCGATGATTTCACTTTTGGATGATCATTTTATAAACTCTAATTCAGTTTTTTCTTTGAAATTTTGTCATTCTATTCGAAAATTACTCGAATAGCACGAATTTTTTGTAGTTTTCTCTAAAGCTCTGTTCGAGTTTGAGGTCAACCCGAACCGATAAATTCGGGTCGTCGGGTGATCCGGAAATCGTAAAATAGTTTTTTTCTTTAATAACGTTTATTTTTACCAAGACACTTGTATTTTGTGTCTTAAGTAGAGTTGTTCGGCATGTATTTGTGTATATATTCACAAATTTTCGTTTAATTTGAATTAATATTGAACGCGAAATAACGTTTTTAGTCTGACCCGAAATATTTTCGGGTCGGGTCACGGATTGGACCCGACCCGATATGAGCATCAGTTTTCTCAAAGATTATTGATTCCCAATAAGTTGTATAATTACAGACAAACCTCCCTAAATGTACCCTCTATAAGTGCATACCTCTAAATACACAACATGGCTGGGTCTCAGCTCATAAGAGCTCTATATATTTTACCCTCTATAAATGCACGCTTTACTATGATCCCAGGGGGGTGCATTTAGGGAGGTTTGTCTGTATTAACTTTCAGTAATTTCTTTAACAAATCCAATCTATATTATAAAATAAAATTGCGTATGTGACTCGAAGTAGAGTTTGGAACCGGATTTATTTTTAATATTAGAATTCGGTTTTAATCCGGTTTAAATCCGAATTTTAATATTAAAAATAAATCCGGTTCTAAACTCTAACTCGAAGAATTAAAAAAAGAACTTTGTTTAGAAAGGCTATAAGAATTGAAGAAATTCCACTTGAATGATGCACCGAAATCAGGGGAACTGAACCTTAAAAGACAACAACCGTATATTTTTATATTAGGAAATTCAGAAATCTATAAATTACAGAGAAACTTCTCAAGCACCCCCAGACCATATTAAAGAAAAGACAGTGTGGGTGTGCATTTATAGAGAGTAAATAATTGAGACTTTATATAGTTTGGGACTGAGCCATAGCGTGCATTTAGAGAAGGTGTATATATAGGGTGCATTTAGGGAGGTTTCTCTGTAATTATTATTTAAAGCTAATCTTATATTCATCGATTTAGCTACAATAAAAAAATTATGTTCTGCATCAGAAGAAATATGTAACTCAAATGGAGATGCTGAATATACTTTTATAGCTTCCAAAAATTCATAATCAATACAGATGGTTATCAAAAATATTTGAAATTCAACCTCTTAAATCAAATTGACATTTACCGATATAATACACTAAATGAATTGATATAGGCAAATGTTACAAATAAAATAGAAGGACGAACCAAACCTGGTTCGAACCAAGCGACTTTGATATAAAAAGTAAAAATTACCATAACATCATAGGTGTTTAATATCGATTAACATTTCTTACATACAAAGAGCTGGTGTTTACTGCTTTCGCTCAAACACACAAAATATTACACTAATCACAAAATGAATAAAACTATCTACCAAAATCCAAAAGGATCTGACTTCATTTACTTGACTCATTTTTCTTTTATTTCGTAATATACTAATTAAACTACTTATTTTCTTAAAATTAACTAACTAAAGACTCGTGATATAACACCGATTCTTTAAATTTACTTGAGTATTAAATTCATTATGTTTACATTCATATCAGTTTATTTTTCATATTATTTTAATTATTTAATTTTAATTTCATATTATCGTCATGTATTAATGCATACCATCTGTATAAAACATGTGAAAGAATACGATCAATCAAGTTAGTAGCTCATGAGACTACCATCACAAACCAAAAGAACGTTTCACAAAGCGTCTGTTTTCAGTTTCGGCTGAGCGCTCAATACTATAATTTCTGATTGATTCTCAGGTAAACGTTTATTCAACAAACAACGTTAAACTTATAAATTATTTTAATAAATATCGAAGTAAAAAATGCTCATTAACAAAGTACGTAATTACTTTATATGCAGAAATTCGATATAAAATTTTTAGAATTTGGTCAAACAAACCACATAAAAAACCTAAAATAGCAAGAATCTTATTCGGTGTTTTATAAAAAAATCAAAAGAAAAATGTTTTAGCATGTATCATTTATTATTATGATTAAAATGAAAACAAATTCTTACATTTCTATTTTCACAAAGAAAAAAAATCATGTGTTAATAACCGGATTCAAAGACTTTTTTCCTTTTCTAGAATAAGAATTTGTGACGCTTCTTTATTTTTTGTTCAAAGAATTTCTATTGAAATTCTAAACAACAAAGAACTTTCCACTGAATTCTAAACGACAAGTAATATTACTATATAAGAGTTTGATAATGGTCCTAGCATGCGTACTCATTCTGGTAATAAGTGGTCTTCCAATCCGATAATTGAAAAATGTGACTTTCTTAATTTGGAGCATTTTCTTCATTACTTCTATCAAAAAAAACCTAGATAAAAGAAAGATGTTAAAAATTCAAAATACAAAAATAAACTTTGAACAAAAAAAATAATGTTTTCAAACTTGAATAAATGCGTTGCAAGTTCACGATTCGGGCGTTACTTTAAGCTGGAAAATTCTGGCGCAAAGAAGTCTCGAGACAATACAAAATTTACAACAGAGTTGCGTGCAGGCATTGCAACATTTTTAACAATGGCATATATTCTATCAGTAAATGCTACAATAATAGCTGATTCAGGTGGTCCGTGTGAATGTAAAATGCATACAGAACCCGATAATTCCGCGTATCCATGTATCGACGATGAATATGCAAAGTGTATTATGATCTTAAAGAAAGACTTGATAACAGCTACTGCGGCTATTTCTTGTATATGTACTGCAATTTTTGGCTTATTTTCAAATTTACCATTTGCATTAGCTCCGGGGTATGCTTACTCGATCTCACAGCATTCTTTATAGAAACATGTTTAAAGTACTAAAAACTTATTAAAAATTCTTAGAATGGGAATTAATGCATATTTTGCATATACGATGGTTGGCAAACATGGATCAGGAAAAATGACATATGGAACAGCTTTGTCTGTAGTATTCATAGAAGGAATATTGTTATTTATACTGTCACTTTTAGGAATTCGTCAAAAGCTTTCAAAATTTGTACCTATGAGCATAAGAGCGGCAATAGGAGTTGGAATTGGGTTGTTTCTTACAATCACAAGTTTTCAAAAATCATCGGGGATCAGTTTAATCTCATATGATCCAAATTCATTATTGACACTTGGTGGTTGTCCAGATGAATACTATAATAAAGACGGCTCTTGTAATGGTCATTATCTTGAAAGTGGAACGACTTGGCTTGGAATTCTGGGATTTTTTATTATACAAATCCTAATATTGTATCAAGTCAAAGGAGCAATTTTGTTTGGAATCTTATTTGTTAGCATTATTTCGTGGATTAGAAATTCACCAATTACTTATTTCCCGGATACAACGGAAGGCAATATACGATATGAATATTTTAAAGAAATAATAAATTTTCATAAAATTGAAAGGTAAGGTAAACATTAAATTTTTTTATAAAAAATTTGTATTTTAATTGGTAATTTTCTAGTATATTAGGAGTACTCGATTTTGACTATCAAAATAAGGATGTATGGATTGCATTATTCACACTTTTGTGTGTTGATCTTCTTGATACAACAACTGGTCTATATCAGATTTCGAAATTTGCTGGGCTAGATAAGGAGAACGGAAGTTTCAAAGGATCAAATTCTGCATTTCTTTGTGACGCTATTTCTATATCCTTAAGTGCAATTTTTGGCAGTTCACCAACAACAGTATACTTTGAATCCTGCGTTGGAATAACGGAAGGCGGACGTACGGGGATAACAGCGCTTGCCACTTCAATTTGTTTCTTTATCAGTTTGTTTTTTGCTCCAATATTTGCGAGTTTTCCGCCTTGGGCTACGGGTCCTGCGCTTTTAGTGCTTGGCATCATGATGATGAGTAATGTAAAAGATATTAATTGGATCTATCCTGGTGATGCTGTACCTTCTTTCTTGTATGATAATATTAAATTTCATGGTAAACAATTTAAGCTTTATTTTAAGTAATCTTTTTTTTCTTTAGAACTATCGTTATTATTCCATTTACTATGAATATTTCACATGGAACTATCACCGGAATAAGTACCTACATTCTTATTAATGGCTTCGTTTGGCTTTTGGAAACAGTTTCACGAGGTAAAATATTACCACCAGAGAAAAATTTAAAAGAACCTTTTGCTAAAACGCTTTCGGACAAGGTATAAAAAACATATTTATACGTTTGTAAAAGATTTAGGTTGATAAATTATTTCTTATACAAAAGACACTACCAACAATCAATATTGTGTGTACTGCATATAGCTGTAGATTTTTAAAGGTATTAGAAAAATGGTAGACAATATAAAATCATACAAGCGACGTATTATTAATCCGCGTACATGGGAAGATTATTATGAAAATACAATGTTTTTAGAATAGGGTAGTTGTAGTGTTGGGCAGGTTTTTTTTGGAACAAACACGTCAATTCAAATTGTTGTTAATAATAATAGAAGCTCTTTAAGAATACGCAAAACAAAAAAAAATACGAAGATATTGATATATTAGCCTATCAATAACAATTATTTTATTATCGTTATGAGTATAGTGAACTTAAATATATAATCATCTAACTTTAAATGGGTTTGCAGCCAGAGACAAATTCGCAGACCATAAATTCCTCCGACTTAGTAATATACGTTATTCTATATACTGTTAAAGTAATTTTGGAAAAGGTGAAGTAATTCGGAAGTTAGCTATAGAGGCTTTTTTTGCAATTTGGTATTCAGAATTAGAATTTTGATAAAATAAAATTTATGCATATTAATTTATTATTTTATTTTATAGATGTTGCCTGTACAGGGTCCTGTTGGTGAGAAGAAAGGCAGAATACTGTGACCTGGAGGATTTTGCGATTATGAAAAGAATGGCGTTTCTATATATAAAGTGACTACCAGATATTAACAAATATTTAAATTTAGTTGGTAAAGCATTATGCAAGAAACACTACATGTAATTAACGTTAATGCTAAAAAATTCATACGTACTTATCGCATTATTATAATGTCTCGTTAAGAACGTATGAAAAATGATCTACAAAATCCCTCAAAGTAAGTTTGTTACGTATGCATTTCTTTTATGCCTTTTTTGGTTATGTAGTACATATTTGTAATATTTTTTCTGTAGTAATTCGTTAACTTTACGTAAAAGGTAAAATCCCAGAGAACGGTGTTTTTTTAGCTTTATTCATATTTACTTCATACTTGCCACTGTTATGGATGTAAATGCATGTAAATGTATGCTATTTATGAGATTACGTTCTATTGTTCAGTGCGCAGTAACATCATTCTTCTATGTCTATATAAGAATCTGTAAACAATGTTCCAAAATAAATTTAAAATAAATAATAACAATTTCAAAAATCAAACATTTCTGATACTTTCAGTTTTCATAATGACAACAACATCTATTGACACGACTACTTCAAATAACGATCATACGGCCAATACCTTGTCTGAATGCGAAAAAAAAATGTTACGCGATCCTCCATATAAACTATCACTTTCTATGGATGAGCTTCTTGCACCCGCAAAAAGAACGCGTAAAAATAAAAAAGACTCGAATAACCCTCGACAACAAAACAAATGGATTATCTTCCGTAAAGACTACGAGGCAAAATTGCGTCTACTTAACCCAAATGCCACTTATAAAATCCAGGATATTTCTAAAGAATACGGCGCTGAATGGAGATCGCAGCCTAGTGAAGTTAATAAATACTTTGATCTGCTACAAAGAATCGCTTTTGAAAAACATAAACTCGCGTATCCTAATTATAAATATAGTCCAAAGAAAAAAGAATCTGTATTTCGTGAAGACAACAATGAGTTGTATGAAGATGACGAAGATGATGAATGCGAGGAAAATAATAACAGCAACAACAATTGTGTAGTCTCAGATTCTTCTTCTATTAACGTTTCTTCTAATTCAACCACAATGAACTCATCGGCCGAGTCTAGTACTATTTTTGAATTCAATTTACCACAACGATCTCAATATACTCCAATTGGCGCGTTGTTTTCCAAACAATTGGATTTTCATTCGAATGAATGTATGCCCTCTGCTACTGCATCTCCTCTTACTCAACATCCAATATCTATACCAGAAAATTTTGATACATCTGCAGCACCTTTATCTTCATTTTCATTTTCAAATGAATTGAATTCCGAATACAATAATCTCGTTTATGGACTTGGAAATATCACCACAAACAACAATGAACTTATTCCTTCGATTTCACCTAATTATACAATCAATAACGATGCTGGTACAGCGATCGATACATTTAACGTTAACGAGATTAACTCATTGGGTCAATTAGATTTTTCTCAAACAAATAGAAACAATAACCAAATAACTATTTTTAACGAATTCGATAGTGATAATCCATTGAATTTTGCTGAAAATAATTATCTATCCACTGAAACTAATAATTTTGATGTAGCTCCTATATACGAATTACTTGAGGCAGATCCAAAAGAATCTTTTGGATTTAATAGCAATTATGATATTAACAATAACGACCCAATCTTGATATCTTCACCACAAAATCCATTTACAATTATCACAAACCCTTTAATTTTTTCAAATACTTTGTTAATTTCTCCATCATCCCTACAATCTCTATTCATCCCAGAATATCTTGATTACGATTCTACATTTTTGGCTGGAGATTTGTCGGAAATAACCTCCGACGATTCGCAATTTGGCGTATTTGCTTAGGTTTTGTGAAATTTAATTTTGGTTTTCACGTTTTGATTTTTTTTATTCCAAGATATGAGGTTTGTAAACTTTACTTTATTTATGCACTCTCTCATTCTCAGATTACTCATTTACTACCCTCAATTAGATATATATATATATATATAACAGAATCAAAAATCAAGCATCAACAATACTAATTCATTTATTAGTTTCTAATGGCACTGACATATATTACCTAATATCTTAGGGGGTGGGGAGGGGTAGCGCTAGATCTTAGGTGATACATAATTAAGCATTTTTGATTAGTTATAAAAGAGTAATTAATAAAATAGAAAATATCCTTTTATTTTTAAGGAAGTAAATTAGAAACTATTCAAAAACAACTAAATCATACTAGTTTAGACCTTACTCTTGAGTATATTATTATATCCCCCAATTACCTAAAATCCTTGAAAAAAGTTTGGAAACTAATAGAATAAGGGAGACGAGAACCGATATTGAAAAAATAATTTTCCGCCAAAGAGATTTTGAAGATGGGCCAACCGAGACCGAGCCAAATAATACCTTACCTGGGGTGGACACCTCTATCAAAGTAATATTAGATGATATATGTCAGTGCCCTAAGTATTACATGTAGTTTTTAAAATTTACTCCTTATTCATGTTTCTTGATAGCTGTTTTTATTCCTTTTGAGTTGTTCAATTATTTATTTATTACAGGTTCTTTAGTGATTATATTGAACAAAGTGATATTATATCATACTACATGGATTAATACGTATTTTCTAAAATATCGATATTGCCTATAACACATGTAATATCATGTGATCGATTTCGACCAATTAGCGATGGGATTTATTTGTATCAAATCAGAACTTGGGGGAATATTAGTAAATGCCTAACTTTGTATGAGAAACAATTTTGAATTTATTGAATTTACTAAATTTACACTCTTCCCGCTTTGTTGCATATGTGCATCAAATCACAACTTGCCCAAATTAGAATACGAGTATTACTAGAGTTAGAGTTAGGGTGTTGGAAGATAGGTTGAACACGTGAAGTGTGACCTGAGGCAAATCATGATCTAAGGCACAACATGTGTATCACGCTTTTATAAACTGCTTTATAATTACATACGTTATTGCCCCATTCTCGAATGATTTCTTTTTGTTGCATAAACAAAGTAAAAAATGTCTGGGAAACAAAAGCTAGAAGAAGAAAAAGCACTATTGAATTTAATGCTACGGAATCAGGCTCGATAATATAACCAACCCATTTTAAATAATGGCGAGAAGCTTGGTTTAAGTGTTTCGCACAAAGTTCTGATGCAAGTTATTTCCGAATGTAAAAATCGTGAGCATGTTTTAACTTAAAATCAAAAGTGAGTCTTCATGCTAATTAAATACTGCAAAATCGTGTTAATACAATTTGCATCCTTAAAGCCAAGACGATGATGGAAAAAAAGGTGAGGTTATTTTATCTCTGCAGAAAAAAGACAGCGTAAATTACAAAATTCGATCCAGCATTATTTCCTGGAATCTATTCGCAAAGATAAAAAGCATTTCTGGTTTAGTGAAACTTAAAAACCTGGATACAGTATAATGGATTTCTTTGCTTCAATCTTGGAGAACTAAAGTATTGAATTTAATTAAAAACGAACACCACTGGATTTTACATTTCAATCAAAAAAATCTTACACAACCCTGATCGCGTCAAACGAATTTCTTAAAGAATAAATACTGGCGTCTTTATTCGTTCTAATATCGAAAACCTTTCGTCAAAATTTAACGAATTCCATATCCGTTACATTAGAAATGGATATAAAATATGAAAAAGGTCCATATCAGAGAATTATGCAATTTAGCATTGGATAGATATTTAATAGCAGTGTTGGCAAATGATCTGAAGTGACCCAAATGACCCATGATCAATCATTCCAAAAGTTAAATGACACATGACCTATTTCAGTTAATTTTATCCAATAAAATCAAGAAATTGAGACCAAATATAAATAAAAATAACTCACTGAAACGCTATTGGTTAAAAGCATAATCACATGACAAATGACCTGGGTCGATGTAATTTGAGGTCATTTCCCGTCACTATTCAATAGTGAAAATAAATACCATTCGAAGAAAAAAAAGACAAATCTAAAAGCAACAGTAAAGGTACGTTCGAATTTGTATTGGGGCTTGTAATAGCCTTCTTGAGGGAGCTTTCTTAGTTTCTTTTTAGAGACTTCTTGTCCTTTAAGTAAAAACAAACCTTGGGCACAAACAGCACCCAAAAAAGCGGTTTGTAAAATTAAAAAAGCCCATACATTCCCTGCTTACCTATTTTTTGATTCCACCCGGGATCTCTTGATATCATGAACTGTTTTCAAGATTGATTTCCAAATAATTTTCAATTTTCAGAATAAAGGGAAAAATTCCACAAGAAATCAAGAAAGAAGAGATGCCCAATAGTCATGTATAATATCATGAGCCATAGATAAAAGAAGTTAACAAAACAAAAAAAGTAACAAAAGAAAATCCATGACACCTGGAGAACAATAGCAGATAACGCAAATCTTGATACATTTGATCGAACAAAGAACATAAAAAATTAGGCAAAGAACCGATGCTTATTATTCCAAAAGAATGCAAACGACAGACAAGCAATTTTCTCACTGAAAGAACTCTGTCAGAATTACGAATGTTTTTGTTGAAAAATAAAAGGCTAAAGTAATTGAACGCAAAGATCAACGTTATAAATTGAGTTTGGTTTGCATGTTCTTTTTTCAATAAAAGAACTGGAGTTAATGTTTTATCAATTGCAATTGTTAAAAGAAAACTATAACAATGGAAGCTCTCGTGGACTATTGCTTATCTCGGCAATCATGTGATGTCTGATTTTCTCAGAATCTTTATGGTGCCAGAAGTCATAACTCGAGAATCACGTGATTCTGTTTCAATTTTCTGGCGGGGAGTCTATGGTGCATAAAATCTAAAGTTATCAAATATTTGTATTTTATAAAATGTATAAACTTCTTTACTAAGTAAATATAAAATTTAATCCGTGAATATGCTCAGAAAAGGTCTATTCTATCATATTCACGGTTAAATTATTTTAGTACAGAAGTTAATACATTTTATAAAATACAAACGTTTGATGACTTTAGATTTTATGCACCGTAAAGACAGTGTTGAATCACGTGGTCTTTGACATAAGAAAATAAAAAATGTCAAAATCTAGCTTATTGTAATCGACCAATAAAATAACGATATTTAATCACGTGAAATATGCAAACCAATTTTATTTATTACATGATTTACATTAGGATAATTCGGGCTGGCACTATTATAATTTAGCATTAGCACAATGCCGATCTGAATTATAATGAATGTCAACCAATAAAATCATGCTCATGTGATAAATATTCATGTGATTTGTTTCAAATTTGGACTGATCATACCTATAGCTTTTTATTTTTGAAAATTTGACCGGTAGTTTAATAGAGTTTATCTTCAAGAATAAAGTTACTGGTTTGACTTTCTAAATTCCATTTTTGTAAAGTGTTGAAAGATTTTAAAAATAATTCATTTTATTGTTGAGTTATGATTTCCGGCACCATATAAAAATTCCAGTTACACATCGCATTATTAGTTTAATAAGAGATTTAAACAAATACGTATGTAAAAGTATTGATTATCAAATACTTTTGAATGGTATATTCTGGTAATAGAAAGAATTACCAACAACAGCAACTTGTAAAAAATGTATCGAAATTAGCTTTCTCGGAACAACAAACTTTTTGATAATAAAAACTTGACATTTAAGACTTAAATTTATATTCTATATAAACTCTGGTTCTCATTTTGGTATCTTTATTATTTATAAGATTCAATATTAATGAAAATTCCTCTTTGGGCTACGTAATCAATTGCGACGCTCTCTAGTTTTTTGTTTATATTATTTGGAGCATTAAAAAACTTGATTAAAGACCTGTTAATAATTATAAATTATATTAGTTTTAATATACTTAATAAGCGTAATAATATCTTTTCTCAGTATGGTATATATGACAATTCCCAATATAGAAAAAACTAAGGTACTGTATATGGTTGCAAAATTCAAGTTACAATATTTGCTTTTCACAGCTTTATACTGTACAACAAGTAAAAATTTTTTCTATTTGTTAAACAATCAATCTCAAATATCAAGTGGTACACAATCATTTCTTTATTCAGTTTCTTTGTCTAAAAGTTATCAAGTGGCTCTTAATACTTGATTTTATTTATTCTCATAACTAATTCAATCTCATCTTCTTTAGAACGTATTATTTTATTTATATAATTAACAAATTCCCCCTTTTAGCTGTTTCAATAGCACATTCGATGTAAGTTTTATTTTAATGAAAAAACATCAAAACATAAAATCAATAACATGAATTCTTCGCTGGAAATTAAAGACCCATTTATATTTAATGATACAGAGAAACCACTCTCAGTGCACCTCCCTTAGGACCATATTGACAAAAAAGCAGAAAGTGCATTTATAGAGAGCAAATATTTAGAGCCATAGCGTGCATTTAAGGAGAGGGTATACTTGGGTAGGTTTCTCGGGTCTTTTACCTGATTCACTAAAATATGCTTTATATATTTTTTTGATTTTTATTCACGTCGTTTTTAAAAAATAATAAAAAAGGAAGAGGAAATTCGTGAATCAAAATTAATTTTAAATCGACTAAAAAATCTGTGGATCAAATATTGATCAACACAAGTGTTAAATGTAAATTCTATTGGTCTTCTTGTATATGACAAAATTAAGTGTAATAAAAATAAAGCTGGCTTCTTTATTTTATTTCCTTTTTAGAATACCATGAAACTATAGGAATTTGAGTGGTGCCAGTGCATATGTACATGTGCATTTCGGTACCTCTTGAAAAGCGATTGCTTGTTACGCATGTACATGATTAATGTGTACATGGCGGAGCCGAAACTTGAAATCATCGTTACTATTTAATAAATACGTAGACACAGTTTAAATTTTTTCATCACTTGCATTGTTTTAATCTACGTAATGTCGGAACCGCTTCCTCCAGGATGGCTCGAATGCGTATGTTGACGTTGTCTAAATGTTGGAAAAAACATTCATAAAATAAAAAATTAAACACTTTTTTTTCTTATTAAGCACGATTCAAACACGGGACGAAATTATTGTAACCATCTCATTTTCATCATTGATTCATTCACGCATTTTCAAATATAATTACTAAAACGAATCAATTTTTAGATGTGTTTCCAGAAACTGCCACAACTACTTGGGTAATTCTAATTAAATATATTCCTTATGATATCGCTTTTTATAATGCAGTCGTATTAATTATCCGAAATTCTTAAAATAAAAGCATGACCCTCGAAAAACAGTGCCTGCAAATAACCAGAACAATTCAGCAGCAGCGCCTGTCAATAACTACCAGAACAATTCAGCAGCAGCGCCTGTCAATAACTATCAGAACAATTCAGCAGCGCCTGTCAATAACTACCAGAACAATTCAGCAGCAGCGCCTGTCAATAACTACCGGAACAGTTTAGCAATAGCGCCTGTAAACAACTACCAAAACAGTCCAACAGCAGCGCCTGTAAATAACCATAACGATTCAGTAACAGTACCTGTAAACAACTACCATAACAATTCAATCGTCAGAACAGCATCAACATCTTCGCAACCAGGAACATTAACAACAGCGACAGCAGCTCAATATACAAATGCTCAATATATAAATGAACCATTGGTAATGTCTCCAATAGAACCCCCCAACCCTTATGCACAACAACCGATCACCCAATCGTACTCATTGAAAAAGCCCGATTTTAAAAAAATCGATAAAACCGCAAAGAAGGTCGCTCAATCAATAGGCGGAATGGTTGGGTCTTTTGTAACAGGAGCGATTAATCCTCTTTCTTTGATTCCGCGAGGTAATAACGATCATAATAAAAATTTCGGCAATGTGTTTCAGCAACAGCAAATGTTCGCATTTATGGAACAGCATCAGCAGGCAGCCATGGCAGCACAGATGGCAAGTTTTGCTGTCGCCCAACAAGAAGCTCAAAGAATACTTCATGAAACGTTAACTCGTATAGCAGTTGCCGAAAAAAGAGAACAAGAGTTAAAGCAAAAAATAGCTCAAATGGAAGCTGGGTTTAACGATACCAACGTGAAGACTACTGACACTCGAGAAGCAAAAATTGATCACCCAAACGACGTGAAGATTAACGATACTCGAGAAGCAAAAATTAATCAACCATATGATGTGAATATTCAAGAAGTAAAATTAAATCAACCAGTAAATATACCAGCAAATATTCACGATCCAAATATGAATTTATCACAGAAGGTTCAGGAATTCCAAGTAAATCAACCATTGAACAATCCCGAATTCCATCAACAAGTGAAAACTCCAGAATTCCAAGTAAACCAGCCAGCTAATGTTCCCGAATCCGAAGTGAATCAGCCAGCGAACGTTCCCGAATCCCAAGTAAATCAACAAATGAAAACTCCTGGGTTCCAATTAAATCATCCAGCGAATGTTTCCGAATTCCAAGTAAAACATCCGGAAAACACTTCCGAATTCCAGGAAAATCAACCAGAGAACACTTCCGAATATCAAGTCAACTATCCAATTAGTCTTCCTGGATTTCAGCTAGAAAGAGTGTATGAAGCTCGACAAGAAAATATTCCAAAAGAAATAAATAATCAAGATGTAAAAGAAATTTCAACACAATTAGAACATCTTCAATTTTCGAAAGAAGAAAACAATCAGGTCTTTAAAGAGAACCACAAACATACTCAACAGAACCAAGCCGCATACAATCAACTACACGACCAACAAATATGGTTGCATGAAGCATCCGCATCCTTGATGTCGGACATATAAACTCTCCTATAATTGAATTTATCAGAAAAAATGAGATGAACAGTCAAATACTTTCCCAGAATTCTTACAAATTAACTTTGACCCGCGATATTATAATCTGGCTCAATACCTTGAATATTAATTTATCCCTACCCCATAAATCCACAATTAGTTTGTTTTTCAACATGTAGGACGTGTACATGGTTTCATAGATTATGTTGGTATTATATTTTAGCGTTAATCACTAATATCCTGTATATATTTTTATTGCAAACGTTTATTAAATAACATAACGATAACGATAACTTTTTTTTCGACAAAATATTCGAATCCCGAAAAGATGCGCCATACACGATACCGTACAGAACTGTACATACATCTATAAATTGACTATCGCTATACAGTTCAGTATTTTGAAGTTACGGATTTTCAGCCTATATCGATATTGATATGTCATCAAAGAAATTTCTAAAAATCTTCAATTTACGAATCAAAGTCAATATTTATTACCAAGACATTTATTGGCTTTCTTTACAGCTTAATGTTAACAAAATTATAAATAGATGAAATTTTTTTGTGGCTACTAGCACAGATTGTTTCCAAATGTAGTGTACAGCACCAATCACACATAATAATAATCCATAAATAAATTAGAGAAACGTTTGACAGAAAATCCGAAAAATCTCTGTTCTCCTGTTTCTTGAATGTAAAATAACACATTTATCATTATCTCATTGCTAAATTGTTGTTGTGACAATAGTAATACAACATTCCATTCTAGTAACACACATTATGTTTGTTTTTTTAATTGATTTTCGCGTGTACGATTATAAAATATTAATATAAAAAATTAATATATATATATATACATACAGTATACCGCGCGCTCACAAGTTTTATTAAACCAACTTCATTGTTCTTTATTGCTTGAATAATTGAATTCTCTTTCAGCCGCTTTTCTTCTTCTCGTCTAACTAAAATAAAAAAAGCATTTACCATTTTAAATTTTTTTCGTTGGTATCTTCGTGCAAGTCATCCTTATATAAAAGTTTTCTTAGTTTTCATTGTATTTTTTAAAAAAAATGTCTGGTCTACCATTGCCCGCTGGATGGGAACAAGCAGTAAGTACCAAGAAAACGGGCGGAGCGGTTCGAAGAAAGGAAAATAACAAAAGATACTAACAAACTCATTCAAAAAAACTATTTGTTTCTTTCAAGTTCGATCACAACACAGGCCAATATTATTGTAAGTGAAAAAACCAATGAAATATTTGTTTTTCGATTCACACTCAATCTCACGAATAAATTATAATCACCAACAAATCATAGATATCGAAACAGCATCAAGAAAAACAACTTGGGTAAGTACTTATTTTTATGGGTTATCGAATTTATATGCTTGAACATCATCTCATTTCCATATTTTAATTCTAGGATCATCCAGGAATACAGCAACAGCAACCACCACAACATAATAACTACACAGCTATCCACCCAGCTTATTCTCCGCAGCAGCAACCACAGCACGTTTTATATTCGAATTATAATGTCACCAACCTAAATCAACATCAACATCAACAACATCCTCAATTTAATAATATCAACAATCATCGAAAATCAGAGCCATATTATTTGATTATCCCGCAGCAACATCAGCCTCAGCATCATCACCCAAATAATCCATTATCACATTCCAACCAAATTCCTTATCAAAACCAACCAAACCCAATACAAGTGCAAACATCGAATTATCATGCAAATCATCATCATCATCAATCACCTGTTCAGCATCAGCATCAATCACCAGTTCAGCATCAACAATCACCTGTTCACCATACACACAATAATAAAGCATTTCCTGGCGGATTTATTCATCCGCACCACCGAGATTCATTACAATGGGCGCCACCGAATTCCGGATTATCGCCGAATTCACCGATGCAACAACCAACGTTGTCTCAATCGCCTCAGCAATCACAAAATCCTCAACAAATACCGAATTCATTAAGACCTGGTCATCAAACTTCTACACAGCCAAATAGTTCATCGACGCTGAACAAACGACAAACGTTACCTCAGCAATCACAAAATCATCAACAAATACCGAATTCATTAAAACCTGGTTATCAAACGTCGGACAAGAAAGAAAATGATAGTAATGTAAATAAACACCATTTCACTATTTGAATGATCAAATTTGAAATCATATTCAAATTCTAATTAATTAATTCTGAATGGTTTGTTCTATACCAGCAAAAATCACCAGAAAGAGAAAAAACAAACGAAGAATTTGAAGAGGCTGCATATCTAGCGAGTTTAGATCTTCAACAACAACATCATCAACAAATCCCGAATTCATTAAAACCTGGTTATCAAACGTCGGACAAGAAAGAAAATGATAGTAATGTAAATAAACACCATTTCAC